CCCATATATAAATGCAGCCCTATTTTCGGTATTTTGAAAGTATGAGCCGCATTCTCTGCTTCTTGTAAGGTCAAACATATTTATGCAGAAAATTGTCTATAAGTTTGGGAATATCCCAATATAATTGTTTTGTTTGCTATTTGCATACTTTTGACCATCCATCGAAGTGGATGTAATTTAAAAAATATGTTTGCCAAAAGATTTCTTTGGGCATAACCCCATGGGACGAGACTCATTTTAGCTATTTTGAAGTGGATATAATTTAGCTTTCCGGAATATAATTTGGCTTTCCTGCGAATAAATACCTTGTTTTCGCTCCCGCGCAAAGCCCCCGCTTAACTTCCTGAGTGTCTTTAATTTGGGTTTTCATATTCTCAAATAAACAACCTACTAGCAGAAAATGGGATATGAAGAACCCGACCGTTTTTTAGGAGGCCGAGCTTTACGAGTTGTTTAGTTGCTTGCAGATGTACTGACACTTTTTTAACCTTGAAAAAACAAACTCATCGCGTGAATCATAGGGAAATTTCTATGGGTCACTGTGAAATCGAAAAACGGCAAATTCTTTTGAGATGTAGTTGTAAAAAATTTTACTAAAAGTTCTAAATTGGCAACACTGGTGATAGGCACCCGAAGCAGTGAAGCGATAGATTCCATTGATCGAGATTTTGTAAAAATATTTATGTTATAAATCAATCACGTACTCCTCCCACACGGTTCTGTGGGAGGTATCAGAAAGAGTCACAATCTTCGAACTGGTTTTAAATTTGAAAAAAATATACGATACCATGCCTATTAGGCAGACAGACACACATATGGACATATTTTAAAAATATTCTGAAGTTTATTTGATTCGAAGAAACAGCGTCTGTAATTATTACGATGTGATAAATGTTTGTTGTATTATTAGCCTTATGTATTCCCATGAAAAAAATGTTTGCTAATACATTGGTTATGGCCTGAAAAATATTACATTAAATGCAATTACTTCATAACTTGGACGAAACTTGTAAACATGTTTTTTTAACATTCAATAACTCGGAATCGGCTGTAAACTAATTTCTACAAAATTCCCTAGGGTGTATGGTATAGAAATCGTATTTACTTAAATTCGCATATCTTTAGGTCTTAATTTATATAAATAAATTCCATAAAATATATGTAGTGAATCTCTTGTTCTATTTAATATTATCTATAATATTATTGCTTGATTTTTTTTACATTTCCTTCTTCCATTCTAACATTATCATAAAAAAAATTCCATCAAAATTTCTTCATGAATTGCGAATATGATATAAATTATAAATGATTGTAATTACAACCAAAATCTATTCTGACTGAATGAAAAAAGAGAAACCAAGGACAGCTGTCATATTTTGGTTGTCTTCAGTTTTTTAGAGAGAGGGAGAGAGAAAGATAGAAAAATTGTTCATGGATTTTCATTTGCTTTTGCTCGTACATTAACCATGAAACTTTTCATTTGCATATCCAGTTGAAGAACTGCAAAAACTCATTATCAATCATTCGTCAGCTGTTCTAACAAGAACTTGGATGAGTACAGCAGAACTGTGTGTTTGTGTGTGTGGAGTGTGCCAAACAGATTCAGCTTCCTAAAATGTGTTACGGGAAACCAACCACAATCTGTTGAAGGGACATCATTCGACACAAGTAGCAGCAGCAACATCAGCGGCAACAGCAATGTCGCTTTGGTCTTTTTTTTTGTCATGTCAAACGATTCTCGGCATCGTCATCTTAACTGTCGCCTTCAGTTTAGCGTCCTGTATATTTTTTGTGTGCCAGTTACATATATCATTAGCGTAGTTTCGTTGGTTGCTGAGGTGAATGATGAGTTGATGGTTTGGGTGTTGTTATAACGATTCTGCGAGCGAGATGAAACTCCTGTGATGTTGGTTGCAGGTTGAACCAGCACTAAGTAGAATAACGAAGTGTAATTGAAATAGAGGAGGAACTTGGGATAATTATAATCTGAAATCGAATCTGTTTCCATCGACACCTTTCATTTGTTAACTTTTAAAATTGTTTTGTTGTGTTGTTCTGTTGACCTGGAAATGATCACGAATTTTACGAATGAAAAATAGATAGAAGTTTCTAATTACTGATAAAAAAAGTTTTGAAAATACTTTATGAAATTTGATTGAATTTCGGATATTTTCAATGAAAATGTTGGTAATTAATAGTGATTGACTACTCCAAATTGTATCCTTTCTTTGTCTTTAAAATTTGTTAGAAATTTTTTTGCAACAAGTAAAATTAAAACTATGTCAGCTTTAGATTTTTCAAATCTTAAACGATTTCAGGCAACGCATCAAATCCTTACTGTATTATTCGTATATATTCATGTATATAACTGTGATTCTCAGCAAATACATTTAGGATATCAGATGCGGATGACTGGGTAGACATGACCATTCCACCATGCAGGCATAAACGTAGCTCAAGTGCAAGAGAATGTTTGCTAAATGAAATAAGAACAAAAAAACGAATTACGTAGAGATCAAAATGCTGGTTAAAAAAAACAAACCCTTTCACTGAATTCAATTCTGCGATACAATATAACTCGAGGCAGCTCTGTGCAAATTATGCTTGCACTTATGCTATCGTACATTCTCAGATATTCATGCGAAATGACAGACAGACAGACAAAAATTGAAATATGACGCTTATCAAAACCTGAAACATTACCAAAAGCAGTAAAATTCCTTTACAGGAATAAAGAAAAAAATGCTTGAAGTTTTGAATTTAAGAGGGAGAAGCAAAAAATGCCATTCCATAACCCGAGCATGTTTTGAAATGCTGAGAGAGCTAGGGAGACTATGAATCGCTTATTTGAATTTTTCGTTAAAGTTTCATTAACGATTTCTTTCATTTTCTGCTTGGTCAATTTCTACATGCTGCAGACCCTTTGCCCAGGATAAGATAAGTTTTTTGGTTCACTGACTGAAGCAATGTATGTCTGTCTCAACGTCCGCCCGTCCGTCTGTACTGTCGCTGAAGTTTATGTCTGAAATATGTTTTTGTTAAATGGCTAGTTCCACAAAACTCCTAAAAATGGAATGCCTGTGATGTGTTTGCTTTTCATTAAAACGTTTGCTTTTGTTCTATTGCCGTGGCCGGCATCAGGAACAACGAAAAAGTTCATCCATGCATTTTTTTTTTTTTTTTTTTGTATTTTAACGGACTCCTTTCTCATTCTGGACAACATAATGTTTTTTCTACTCTCAGTTGCAGTTGGGCTCATTTAGCTTTCATATTCACTTTGGTTGGCCATTTTCCTGATGGGATTTCTATTGTATGCATTGTTTTATATTTTGCTGGCCATATTCTACTTGCAAAGGGCCGCTGCTCCATAACTGCTGGAAAGTGGCAGACGTAGAGACATCAGCCAGCATCCTCCATTCGCTTTGTGAGCCTCCATTACTGAATATGGTCATCGTCCTGTCGTCGTTCGGTGTTAATGGCCGGCATGTGAAAATTTTGCCAAAATAAAATGAAGCGAAAAGGACAAAGCAGTGCAATGCAATGCAAAGTGAAGCGAATCAGACAAAAGCTAAAAACGAAACTTTTTCCTCAAACTCAAAAGCAGAAGAACAATAACCAAGCACATTTTGTGCCACAATGACCATTTGCTTAATAAATGTGCAGAGGAACAGAACAGTGGCCAGCACTAACATCTTTTAAACATTCAAGCGGAATTTCCATTCCATTCCCACTCGGTTTCGGATTCGTCCATTTGCTTTGTTTTAGTTATAGAGTTTTTTTTTTTGCTGTTGTTGTTCATATTTAGTTCGGTTTGGTTTGGACGTCCGAACATTTGACATAGAATTCTTAATTAAATTGTATTCGAATAGAAAAATAAATTTCGTCCTTTTGACATGACCCGTTCGGTTTGCTGATACGCTGTTGCTGTTGCCGTTGTTGCATTGCATATCATCAGCGTTGTCGTAGGGCAGTCAGCCAGCCAGCCACCTGTATGTTTGGGGACACGATGTGAGAATCACGTTTACAGTTTTTACACAGCAGCTAAAGTATTTCTAATCTTTTCAATTGGATTTTATTTAAAAATAAATCGCTGTCAAGCTGTTAGTTCGTGTTGTGTATTTTTACAAACCATCCTTCACACGGTTGGCTAGCGGATTAGTTGATGCTTTAAATTTTCAATGAGAATAAATGTAAAGTTTAATTCGAAAATGTATTTGTCTATGCTGGTATCATGCTAAGGTCGTTATTATATTAAGTTGTGAGTTTGGAATTGTAGTAAATATTTGCAAAATGAATGCAAATTGAGTGATTGAAAAATATTTTATCTCTTCCTTTTGTGGAAGACAATTTTGAGAAATTTAAAAGTCCAATATTAAGATCTAGAAAAAAATATATTTTCGTTAATTTTTGTTTTAGATCTTATAAGATATAGTATAAGCCTTAAAATGTGGATCAGGAAGCATTTTTAATAGAATTTCTAATTTAACTCAAATTCAAAATGCCAATTTTGTTGACAAATGAGACTGAACACTTTAAAATATTTTTGACATTGGCAATAGAACAATAAAATGTTAAATTATCGATTTCTCGTCCACCTAAAATTTTATTTGTACGATATTGCGTGAAATGAAAAGATCGGGAACGCAAATCTAGTAAATATGCCAAAATTAGATGGCAAATCTTCAAAATCAACATTACAGCCAATCAGAGGTTGGCATTCCTGTTTACCATTTTTACTCGGACTAATTTTTCGAGTAAAAAGTTTACAAAGATAAAGCCATTTTGTTTTGTGTTCTCTAAAATTTGGTTCAATGTATTGCCAGTTATGTGGATTTCGAGTTATTATTGTTTCATTATAAAAACACTTTGTTTGCAGTTTTTTAAATATATTTATATTATTTGAATTTTTTGACAGCTGTGGGCTTTTTGTAAATAGTTGTTGTTGTTTATCAATAATTTCAATTTTCTAATCTTAATTTATTCCCCCTTTCTCTTTACAGTGATATGCCTTGTGGTTGCCATACATTTGCCCGCGTTTTGTCATGCCCAACAGCAAAAATTCCGCGTAACACCTCACGATTTACAAGTACTAGAGGGTGCGGAAGCTATGCTACGCTGTGAAGTTTCGAATTTAGCCGGTGCTGTTCAATGGACTAAAGACGGATTTGCTCTTGGGTTTTCGGCGGTAATACCAGGCTTTCCACGCTACTCGGTGCTGGGCGACCGTAAACAGGGCGTCTACAATCTCAGGATATCGAATGCCTCAACCTCAGATGATGCGGAATATCAGTGCCAAGTGGGCCCAGCTCGTTTGAACTCAGCAATACGAGCAAATGCTAAACTCATTGTCATCTGTAAGTATTGTCGCCCTGTATCCCTGTGCTCCTGCTATCGACAGGTTTAATTAATTGCATCTGATGCATTTCATTTGATTGTCGGTGCACAATTCGCCCTCTGATGTCATTATACTTAGAGTTTATCCGAAAAAGTGTTGTTATTGTTGTCGCTGCATGCATCCGTTCTTTCTTACATTCCATCCATCCAGCCAGCCAGCCAACCAGCCATCCATCTGTCTATCCATCATCTGTGCCGTGCTCCAAATGCCCATTCGTTCGGCTGTTTCCTCTTGATTTAGTTTAAATGTTCGTCGAAATTCTAGTCGAATTAAAATCGCAAACTGATGCTATCGAACGAACAAACACTTTGTTCCCACTGAATAATGTAGCGTGTTGTCATTATTGTGTGTCCTTGTATTGTGCCGATCGCTGCAAAACGTTCAATTTTATGAAATGAAATGTAATCAAATTGATTGGATGAGTTTATGGCTGTTTTACTCGATTTTGTTGTTGCATTTGCTTTTCCATCCAAAAAAACTGAGGGAGAGAGAGAGAGAGAGACAGAGCACAAGTGAAGGAGTAATGCAGCGAACCTAGAAATGTGTACTAAAATAGGTCAAATCACATGATTTGGATGGTGATGAAGCAAACGATGGAAATTATCACAATGACGATGATGATAATGCTGGTGGTAGTGATAGTGGTGGTGATGGTGGTGTCGGTGGCACTGGTTATGGTGATGGTAGATGAATTTGTGTTTTATGGCAAATAATTTAATTGAAAATTCTCATGCAGACAATTTGATAAGAATTGAAATTCCATTTATTGCAAATTCAATTATTGACAGCTCCATATGGTTGGGTCAATTGGTTGGCCGACTGGCTGAATGTTTGCTTGGTTGGCTGGTTTATTGGTCGACCTTTGTAAGGCCACAGAAAAAACACTTGAATTAATTTAATTTACAATTGCACGTGTGTTACACATATTTAACAATATAATTTGCAAATATTTTTTTAAGTTGTTATTTACAACTTGGTCATAAAATATAGACGTGTCAGTTATACATCTAAGGCTTCTAAGAATCCAGATTCAATTTTATTATTTCAGTTGGAAGGGATACTTAAAAAACGTAACAAATAGATTACATGTTGTAATTTGTATTACATCTAAATATATTAAAGCAATATGGAATAGGCCAATGTTGAACAGGACTTTCGGTAAATAAAAGAGGTGTTATTAAGTCATGCAGTAAAGTATGGTGTAGGGTATACTAGACATAAAAACCATTAAGTCAAGACAACATGCAGATAAGGGCTTAAAACTATAATACATACATGGCTTCAACTTAGGTATAGCTTTAGCATAGCTTTTATTATTATTATTATTATTATTTTGCAAATGAAAAAAAAAAATTATAGTAAGGCATTATATATTATTTATGGGTGCAATATATATATATATTGATTTTAATATATTCATATGTACAAAGGCATTATACTTTATCAATACAGCAGTGTGATGTAGGGTTTGATAATTATATATAATTTTTGTTATTAAAACATAAAATGTTTAAAATTTCTCCTCATAATAGTTTGTTTTCGTTTCTCAAGGAAAGAATCGACTGATATTAAATTTCCAAATTTTAGTATTTGGAAGCTAAATGAACAACACTGACAACACTAAAGGCAGAATTGGCAGCATAATGATCTGTTTTTGGTTTTTCTTTTTTTTTGCTCCCCAAGGAGTTAACTTTAAAACATTTCCATTTGATATCCCCCAAATAAACCCTTTGTAATTAAATTTCTTATAATTTTCAGAAGCGTATAATCGTTTTGTTTTTCACAACACAGTTTGGACAAATAATAAACAATAATAATGTTCAACATAATAAAATCAACATCTTTAACATATGGCAATCTAATTGAAAATTTAAATGCCTCCAACAACAACAACAATGCGCCTTTCTTCGACTGCGATTTATCGCTGGCATAAAAGAAACCCCATTTGCACGACCAGAAGGGTCTGGGTGGAACAACAGCAACCAGTCGGACGGGCGGTTGGTTGGTCGGTCATGGTTTTAGCTGTTGTTGTACTTTTGCATCTTTGATTTCCTCATTTTGTTTGTTTCGTTTCATTCTTTGTTTTATGAAAATGGTCAAATTTCCTTTTGCAAACAACATCAGGAAATTGACCCAAAAACACACAAACACACATTGCGAACCGAACAGACATGCACACTTTTCTGTAGAAGATTAAAAACAACAAATAAAAAAAAAAAAAAAAAAAAACAAAAAAGCCCGGCATGAAAAGGACCAATGGTAGCTGTGGATGGTGGGGCCAAGAACATGTTAAAGAAACACAAAACAGAACACAACCCCATACTTACTTTGTTTTGCCAATACGGAAAAAAAGAACGAAAAATAAATGAGAATAAACGAATATTTAAGCGAAAAACGTTAAGGAGAACAAACGACAATGACGATGAGCGAAACAAAATGCAATAAATGTAAAGCAATAAAAACATAAATATGACTTTAGGGTAAAATTTAACAACTACCCCAGAGCTCCTCAACTTTAATCGCTATTCGCCGAAAATCTTCACAAACGCTTACTTCAAATTTTGCTCTTATTTTCTGCTTTGCATAATGGACTATCAGTTCTTTAATTTTCACTATTCTCTTTCGTTGGAAAGTGGCATCTAAGAACAGCTTGATTTTTTGTATTGTATCATTGACATTTTCTTAATCTATAATTTTACCTTTCTCCGGTAATGGCTAAAGGCAAGGATTTTTCTTTCCCAACTCACAAGTCACAATATGTTTACTTTATATATATATATATATATATACTAACAATAATTTCTTTTACTATATATCGCCACTTCAAAGAGATGTTCATAGACTCTTCTCTGCTTGTGGCTATTTGAAATATTTTGCCTGTATGTGTGCGTGGTGCCTGTGTCAGTTGTTTGCAAATGAATGTTTGTGTTTTGTGGTAAAACAAAAAAACAACGACAATGTTTGAAACATCAACAGCATAGAAATTAAAACCACTTCCGGTGATGAATGTGCTAACACTATGTTGTATGCAAATAAATTGTTTGTGTAGTTGAAAACAGTGAAACTTAAACATTTGACTAATTTCACAAATGTATTACATAATTTCCAACTAAAGCAGAGAAATTTCATTATCTTTACAGAGTTAAAACCGTAAAACCATAAGTGTTGTGACAAATATCGAAATATATATTTCTATAAGATATAGTCCTTTTAAGCGATAGTAAAACCAGAGCAGAACTTTTTTCCGGGACTTTTGTATATGGTCGTTACAACCTATGGATTTTGACTGAATATAAATGATGCTTAACTATCGAATTTTTTATTGTTTTGTGGAATTGGCGTATTTCTAATTAAGTAATGAGTATCTAATATTCTCGATTTGAAAGAAATTTTTATATATTCCAAATTTAAAAATGTCCTTTCATGCATAACTCACATACCCCTGTACAGATTCCATGTGGTTAAAGTTTTTGGCGGAGTACATAACATTTACATACAAAGAATTGGAATAGCTTCTTGTTGAATGTTTCCCAGTAAGTTGGTGGTGATCGTGTTGGGTTACATTGCCAAATATTTTTGTGAAACTGTAACTTTGTCACAAATACCTCAACAGCATGCATGTAAAATAGACGACGCTCACACAGCACTACTACTACATTTACCTTATGCACAAACAATATTGAACAAAAAGTTTTCATTCGTGGCAATTCGAACGGAAAAAGAAATTGAAAAAGAAACTCTTTTTCCAGACAATAACATTTTTGCAACTAGCGCCGTAGCAGCAGCCACGTTTTACATGTTGTTCTCGATGTGTATGTGTGTGTGTGCGCGCGAATTGGTGCTAAATGGAATATGTGAGTGTTCCTGTGGTGATCGTTATGTGGACCCAACAAAATTCCCATCGCCTCCTCCGCCACATATCCAATAACAAGTTGTCGAGTTGTCGCCGACAATGAAATGCAATAAAAAGAAAATTTAATACCATTGTTATGTGGCACTTTTTGAAATTCAATTCGAGCTGCAACAGGAGTAGCAACGGTAGCAACAGCACCACCAGAACAGATTCAATCGTAATGCTTGTGTTATTCGTTTTGCTAGCTGGCAGCGTCATTGGCTTTATTTAATTCTAAAAAGGTCCAATCGTAATATTCGATTTCAATTCAACGCCACCAATGCCGCAAAACTGCCATCCTAATGTGCCTTTCGAACATTTCAACAATGGTGACAGCAATGCCGGCATTGTTGTCACCTAAGCGTCTGGCATGTGTTCATATCCATGTGTTCGTGTTCATAACTTTCCAACCAACAACTGTTGTTGGGTTACTTGTTATAGATAAATCTTATGGATAAGTCGTGGGTTATAATCAACTTTTATTGTCAAATTATGGTTAAGCTCGCAAGTCAAGTAAATCAAAACACAAAATAAAATTTTAATTTTTTGTGTGATGGAAATTTAAATATCATTGTTGAAAACTTCGCTATAAAACTCTGGTAAGGAAGGAAACAAACATACTGGATAGACGCAAACAAAATTTTAATTTTTTGTGTGATGGAAATTTAAATATCATTGTTGAAAACTGTTGGCAATTTTCACCCTTCTGTGTAAACGACATCAGCCCGTCCGTCTGCATCTCCATCTGTTGAAATCACGATAGAGCTCTGATATCTTGCACAGACATAACTAGTACTCCTACGATGTTTGGTATTGCAAATAGGATATATCCTCCATACAACGATATACCTCAATATTCGGTATTTGGGGAATTTAGAAACCTTTTTCAACCGAACTTCCTGTAATTTGATATTTTGAATATCAAATATACGTATTAAACATTATTAACATTGACCCAAGTTTCATGGTAGCCCCCATATAACGGCACTTCTCAGTATACTAGTAATTATTAATATTGAACCAAGTCGGTGTTTTGGAAATTTTGGACACGTTTTTCTACCGAATTG